AGAGATGAAATGAAGATGTGAAGTGTGTTGTAAATTTGTATATGATTAAGTGGCATGCAGAAGTGTTTCCAATCTACTCCTAAAAATTAAAATAAAATAAAACAAATTGAAATTACAAACGGGTCCAAGTTACATGGAAGATGCTTGCTAGATGATACTCCTCTATTGGCTTGTAGATGATTTTAATATGTGTGACATTAATCCCATGCATCATTCATATTTTAGGTAGACCTAGTCTACCCAATAAAGGAGAGAGCATGCCACTTTGAATCAAATTTTGAAGCTTTGACCTTCTTGCCCAATTGATACATATGTTATATGTCACCTATATCACAAAATACACATAATTTAATTTAATAATATGTGACATCATAAAATTTAATTAAAGTGTAAAATTAAACTCATATTTAAAAGGACTAAAACATCCAACTATCAAGCATATCAAAGTTGTTCCAAAACGTAAACCCAAAACTAGGTTAATAGGACACACTTTAAAAAAAGAATGAAAAGTATTGATTTTTATTTAATTACTCTCAAATTAAAATAAATTTAAAAATCTAATTTAATAACTCATCTTCATCACTTAAAATATACTTTATCAAGTTTTCTTGTATATTTTTTTCAAATTTAATTTTTCAATCAAAATATCTTTAGCACACATTTTTCACTCTTAGGTAATTTTCTCATTGTTAATACTATAGATGTACGCAATAAGAAATAAAATACGACAAAAAAGTTTTAAATAGCTAAATAAAATATGTAACAAATGTGTCATATCATTATCTTAACCACAGCTTGTCTTTTTTAATTTTTTTTAACTTTTACTTTTACTATTAAGCTTTGAATTTTTTGACTTTATTATTTCATTTTATTATGTTAACATAATTATTTTTTTAAAAAAAATTAAAAATGTTTTATAATTAAGATTTAAGGGAGTATAGATAGTGCCTCCACTCCTTATTATATAATATTTTAGACGTTTTCAAGTTGGTTGAGGAAAGTACCACATAGATTTATTTGAAAAAAAAAAACTCAAATATTCCAATTATATTTCTATTCATGTTTTCTTTTTTCATAAAAGGCATTATAAAAACTTTACATCATGTTATGAAACCAACATTAAATTTTTACAAATAAAAAAAGAACGATTAAAAGATAAAAATGTCTTAATTTTTTTTTTTAAAGATGTCTGATATCCTAAATCTTTTTTAAAATACTTGTCACTAAAACTTTCAAAAAGGGAGAAAATTTGCCTTGCGTTTAGTGTGACCGATACCTTTGACTATATTTTTTAGATGGTTGTATTTAAAAAAAAAATAAAAAAAAAGAAAAATAAGTTTTGGCCAAAAAAATAGTAAGACAAATCGCAGATCAAGAAATGTGAAGAAACATTAATGCACTACTGTGATGAAGAAAGAGCAATGAGCGGAGGGAGCAAGAAGATTGGAATCCGAGAGGATTAATGCACGAGGAATGAGAAACATGGAACAAGGATAAAAGAACTTAATTAAACGTGCAGAACAACATAAAGCTAGCTAGAAACCAAAATTAGCTTCTAGAAGTGTGAAAGACATGAGTGGCTAACAAGAACCAGAAGGAAAAAACTAAAGCGCAGAGAAGAAAAAATAGTCACATAAATCCATCGGAGATGTTGCCATCTCAAGGAAGGAGAAAAATCGAAAAACAAAAGAAATCCAAACTCAAACAAATTTTCATAGCAACAATCTTACGTGTTTCTATTAGACTTTCCAAACTTGAACATAAATCCATCAGAGATGTTTCTATCAGACTTTCAAAAATAATAGCAGCATATTTTCAAAAATCCAAACCTTTATCAGCAATAATCTTAGAAATCACAACAAATTTTATCAACAATCAAAATCAAAGAACCAAAAGAAAGAAAAAAAAAACACATAGCAACTCGAACGCGAACTCATGAATAAGATCCAGAACATCGTCGAACTCTGTGTTAGGGCTTTTGCGATTTTTCCCCCTTTGGTATCCCTCACGAAGTTCTTCAAGTTGCCATCCCTCACCGGATCCAAAATGCTGTTCACAAAGTTGCTATCCCATCGTTGCTCCGTCGAAGCCGCCATGCCACAAGTGCAAATCGTGCTCCAGATTCATCGACTTTGCCAAAGCAATTCGAGCCCAAGCCACTTGGCTAGTTAGTTTTGTTTTGTTTTGTTTTTTTAAATGTTAGGTTGCGACGGTACCACCTAGCAAATTTAATCAAAGTAATGCGATAATAACAGTAGGGTAAAATCACTAAAAAAAAATTGAGGATATTAGGCGACTCTTGAAAACAAAATTTTGATGCATTTTTGCTTTTTAACTAAAAAAAAACATTTAATATTTTGAATTTTTTTAATTTATTTTTTCTTTTTTATAAAAGATATTATAAAACTTTACCTCATGTTACAAAACTAACATTATATTTTTAGGAGAAAAAAAAGGAAAACCATTTAATATTTTTATATAATATTTTATAAATTAGATTATATTAATTTTTATCTTCTAAAAACCATCTTATATATAAGAGGAGGGATTAACACTGTTCAAGAGAGTCTTGGCCTTGATTGGCCCATCCCCATCTGTCACGTTGAGATGGGTTTAGTTTTGTTTGAAAAAGATCACGACGGAATAAAATTACATTTTAAATAGGATAGGACATGAGTTTGATGCCAATATGCCAAATAGGTGTGTATACATGTATATTAAAAAAAGTTGTGTTCTTCACTTTAAGTAGTGGTTATTAGTAAATATTTGAATATAAATTTTGTACTTGTAATTTATAATTTTTACTTGTGTTGTTTTGAATTTAAGAAATTATAAAATTTGATAAGCGTTTTGTTAGATTTAAAGTTATATTTTTGACCTCTAGCAGTTGACAAGTTGTGTTAGTTATATTAATTACCCTTTTATGGAAATTGTGTTAGTTTCAAGTGGAAAATTGTACTTGATTACTTATTTGAAGATATAAGTGTTGCCGTTGAGATTAACTGTTTACTTCTTACCTCTCTTTGTTCCACTCTTCATCTTCTTCACTGGAATGTCCTGAATCCTATGAACAGCCCTAGAAAGGGGCCCGCGTGTGTGCACTCGCTATTCTAAGATGTTTCACAGATTTTCACCAACATTACAAAAGTTTTTATATGAATTTATTTATCACACATCATTCAAGTATTTCAATTTTACTTTTATTTTGTAAGAAAATGGTGGAGAAAACGTACTAGTTTGCTATAGGAGGTTCACTACATGGGAACAGAGTTATGGTAAAACTCGATTTTTCTACATAGCAAATTTACACACAGAGGGGAAGAGAGAAAATAGGAAAAATGAGAGAAATTTTCTAGATATTCAGAGAGCATAATCAAACCCTCTTACAAACTCTGCCTTTAACCTACGCACATGCTCCCTCGTACTCGATTTTTCCAAATGAACGGTTATAAAAATTGTTCCCACCCATCTTCAAACAAAAAGAGAAAATTGCACAGACGAGCCTGGATTATTTTTATATTATAATAATGCCTCATTATAAAATTGGGCTTCGGCTTAATCGACCAAAGATGGGTAATCCAATATATTAAGAGTTTAATCTTAGCTAAATAGTAAAGTTTTGGAGGTAAAGAAGAAAAATTATTTAATATTTCACACAACTCCTTGTAAATTCTAAATTAAATTAATTTTATTTATTAAAAAATAATGTATTGAAAATGAATTTAAATTCCACGATTATACTTAGCACAAGTATTAAATACCTGTATTATTTGAATAATTAAAGTTAAAATCAACAGTTCAAATACACTCAATTATTTATTAATTTAAAATAAAATATAAAATTATAATTATTAATATAAATTTTAATAGTTTAAATGATACATGTACTTAATGTTCATATCAAATACAGTTGTTAAATCTAAATTCACTGAAAATTAAACTGTTTGTTAAACTAGTTAACAAAATGATTAATTGTTAAAACTGTAGGTAAATCATGATCAAAACTGATCATAAATAAAATATTTATTAAATCGATTAAGACTCCAATTAAATAAATTATTGGTTCATTAAGGTGAATTGACTCGTATTTCCATGCTGTACACGGCACGAGAAGGAGTATAAGTTGATAAATTCTCACCCTGCTCATTATTATTGACCCATGCGGAGTTGTCGTTGGCTTCTGTGCAAACCACATGAAAGATCTACAGGTTACAGCTGAGCCAGCCCACAAAACTTAGCAGAGTGTATGAGACGAAAGAGAGGCCGGGGAATGCGTTGATGTACATTAAAAAAAAAAAAATCTGCACATAAAAAAAAAAAAAGACTGCATTAAGCACGATACTTACTTTTTAAGTTTTAGAGCGATCATTTAATTACTAATTAATTATTGAATGATTATTAATTATTAATAATAGAAGGGTAATTTTATTCATGTTTATAAAATATCTCAATAATTATTATATTTATATTTATTTTTTATTCTTATTAAATATTGAAAAAATTATTGAATAATAGAATATTTTATTTTTGAAATGTATGTATTTATTAAAAATAAATTTAAAAAATTATTAAATTTTTAAATAGAATCAATGAAATATGAAATTTATTTTTTAATTTCATAAAAAAATAATTTATAAATAAGACAGAAAAGAGGGAGTCTAAATTACTACCCCCTTTTTAATATAGTTATTGAAAAAAATTTAAAATTTAAAAATATAAAATATTTTAATAAATTTTTTTTTATTAATAATGCTTCTCTAATATTATTCTTTCCCTCCTCTCTTTTTAACGAGTCCCCGTGAATCGAGACCATGGAATATATTATGTTTAGTTTTTTCCAAAAAAGAATTAATTATGTGTGTTCAAACTTCAAACTTCAAAACCCGGGGTTTGACCCAAAAAAAAAAAAAAAAACTTCAAAACTTGGGGACTGAATAGATTCCCCCTGAGCTACATAGTCTTTTCGTTTCAACCTAAAATGATAGTTTGGTTGAGATAATTTCTGTGTTCGTCAGAAGTATTGGCTCCACAATGGTGTTTATTGCTTCCTTGTGACAGAGCCTAACTGAAGGAACGAGCTCTCTTCTGATATTCATTACTCGTGTTCTTTCTGGGAATTTTAATGCTGCCACAGTGAAAACTACTAAACTTCCAGTAATGTTTTCAAGGCAGAAAAGGTAGTAAGTTGCTTGGGAGAGATTCAATTCGGTCACTCACAAGAAGGTCACCGCCATTGTTGTGCTTCTTCAGCTTCCATTGATGGACAAGGAAGGAGAAGGTGACCATAAAGAAATGTGCGGTGCCAGTACACTCACTGTTAAGATTTCGTCAAGCAAAAGCACTTGTGATTCGCATTTACCTTCTCCGAACCTCAAGAACTCGATAGAATCAACGCCTTATGATTCTCCTTGTCTTGTGTCTCCATCCTCATCAGCATTTGTTTCAGCCTTACAGTCTCCGTATATATCTCCCAGAGCCATCGGAGAAAACCATCCAAACTCCGCCAAGAGCACTCGTTTAGATCCCTCTCAAAACCTCACCACCGCAACCAACACCACCACCACCACCACCACAACAACAACAACCACCGTCAGCCATCCTTCGCCGACGTTCTCCTACAGAGGCTCCCAGTCTGAAGACATCCCCAGCAGTTCCTACACTCCGCCGTCAGATCCCTACGAATTCTCCGATGACACTTCTGATACTAAGCTCAAATTCGTGACGTGCGTTCCAGTCCCTGACCCAATTCCTCCACGCATTTCGTTCTCATTCCCCGTCCCTCGAACTTCCTTCGCGAAAAGCTCCTTTTCAGCGGCTTCAAACGCCAAACTTACCGGTTGTGACGTTTACATTGGTTTCCATGGACACAATACCAATTTGCTGCGATTCTGTAAGTGGCTTAAGTCGGAGCTTGAGCTTCAGGGGATTGACTGTTTTGCTGCAGATAGAGCAAAATATTCAGATAGTCAGAGCCACGAGATTGCCGATAGAGTCATTTGCTCTGTGGCGTTTGGCTTAGTGGTTGTCACGCCTTCTAGTTTTCTCAACCATTTCAGCATGGAGGAGATTAGATTCTTCGTCCAAAAGAAGAATTTGATTCCACTCTTCTTCGAAACTTCATATTCTGAGATTATGACTCTTGCAGACTGCAATTCTATTAACAAGGAGTGCACAGAGGCAGTGGATGGACTTATGAAATCTCATGAACAGAAGCTGGAGGCCATTGATGGTAATTGGAGCAGTTGCATAATGAAAGCTGTTGGGATTCTCAGAGCAAGACTTGGACGGAAGAGAGAAGGGTTTGAGAACAAACGCGGATTTGAGAGTTTACCTTTTCCCAGAAACACATTCTTCGTGGGAAGAGAGAAGGAGATTATGGAGATTGAAAGTCTCTTCTTTGGGAATGGAAATTGTCCAGAGCAAGATCATTCTACAGCAGTCATCAAAGTAGAAGCTAGTGGGCAATCTGAAGGACTTGCTGATGAAGAAAGTGACCATGTGAATAGCAGAGGAGGGAGATTTATCAGTCTAGAGATGGACAAGAGCAAAGATTCAATTTTTGAGTCTTGGGTTGATGTTGAACCTGTCAAAGGAAAAAATTCTTTCAGGAGGATAAAACATAAGAAGTCGAGAAGTGGTAACTATAAGAGCTTGAGTAACACTGTGATTTGCATCAATGGGGTTTCTGGGATTGGAAAATCAGAGCTGGCACTGGAATTCGCTTACAGATACTGCCAGAGATACAAAATGGTCTTGTGGTTTGGTGGGGAAGCTAGGTATCTCAGGCAGAACATATTGAATCTGTCTCTTCATTTAGGTATAGATGTTGGGGCTGATCCTGAGGTAGAAAGGGGTCGAATTCGTACCTTTGAAGAGCAAGAGTTTGAAGCATTCAAGAGAATCAAGAGGGAGTTATCCAGTGATATGCCTTATTTACTTATAATTGATAATCTTGAATCTGAAGAGGACTGGTGGGAAGGGAAGAACTTGCATGACTTGATCCCTAGAAACACAGGAGTTACCCATGTGATTATTACCTCTAGGCTGTCAAAAGTAATGAACTATGATACAATTCAGCTTCCACCATTGCCATTATCTGATGCAATGGTATTGATTAGGGGAAGAAGCAAGAAAGAGTATCCAGCTGATGAGGTAGAATTCCTTAAAAAATTTAACAAGAAACTAGGTAGGTTGAGCTTTGGTTTATGGTTGATTGGTTCATTGTTATCTGAACTTGTAATCACCCCTTCTGCTCTCTTTGAGGCAATAGACCAGATTCCCCTTGAAGAAGATTCTCCTTCTTGTTACATGAGCATTGCAGAAGAGCAACTTCTAAAGAATAATCCTTTCCTTATGAAGATCCTCGAATTTTGCTTCGGGATTCTCAACAAAAGCAGAAGAAAACAGAACCTCCTAGCCAAAAGAATGCTTCTTGTAAGTGGGTGGTTTTCCCCATCTCCCATTCCAGCAAGTTTGTTAGTAAGTGCAGCCAAGGATATCATCCCTAGGACAAAAACTCTGGATGTTACATTCAGTTGTTTATCATCAAAAGCATGGAAAAGCGAGGAGGATTCATCAATGCTTCTGGTGAAACTTGGAATGGCACGAATAGCCAGCAAAATCAATGAACATTGCATCATCCATTTTCATCCCATTATGCAGGCATTCACGAAAAAGAAGGGTGGTTTGCAATCTGCCAAAGCTATTGTTCAAGGGGTGACCAGAAAAACAAGCAATCCTTATATAATAAACTCAAATCATTTCTGGGCGTCAGCTTTTCTGTTGTTTGGATTCAAATCTGAACCCCCACTAGTCCAACTTCAAGCAACAGACATGGTTTTATACATCAAAAGAACAGCCCTGCCACTCGCAATTCAAGCCTTCTCATCATTCTCGAGATGCAATTCTGCAATAGAGCTCTTGAAGGTATGTACAGATGCACTGGAAGAAGCTGAAAAGTCGTTTGTGTCTCAGATACAAGATTGGTCATATGAATCTATTTGTTGGAAACAAAGGCTCCAACGTGGCCATAAAGTGGATGAATATGTGTGGCAAGAGGTCACTTTGTTAAAGGCAACATTACTGGAGACGAGAGCCAAGTTGCTAGCTAGAGGAGGACTTCTTGACAGTGGAAAAGAACTTTGCAGAACATGTATCAGTATCAGAACCGTCATGCTTGGCCATAATCATGCTCACACCTTGGCTGCACAGGACACATTAGCGAGACTTGTGAGAATGAAAAGTAAGATATGATGGCGAATTTTCAAAATAAGCTAGCAGAAGTGGAGGAGTTTGAGGACAAATGAAGGAATTGGAAGGCTTGTGCAACCCCATTATTGCTAAGATGTATCAAGGTGCTGCTGGCGATGTGCCCATGAACGATGATCCTAGCATGTCCAATGGTGGCTACAGCAAATCATCCTCTAGTTTATTTTATGTCAAACGTAGTTAAGCATTAGTAGTAACTGTATACTAGTTAGTATTCTCTACAAGACACCAAAAATCTGGACTTGCAGTAGGTATATCAAGTTTGTGGCTTACAAGTTCAAATGAATTCTGTGCTCAGTATTTTTTCTGTCTGACAAATCAGTTCTTGTATTCCATCCCCACCCCCCCCCCCCCAAAAAAAAAAAAATACAAGAGACGAGCAGCAACTATGGTAGATGACAGCTACTATATGAAGGCAAAAGTAGCTAATTTGCTAGCGCTTAGCTGTTACAGTAAGCTAATATTCACCTGTAAGACAAAATTCTCTACTTGCATTGGGGTTTTAGAACTTCTAGCTTTTCGCTGGATGTTGTTATAATTGGATAATGCTCTTGATATGCTTAGTGAAGATTCCGTCTTTCTCGATGTTAACAACTGAACAACTGATGAAGAAACCAACAAAACATTTCTGTTTGGTTTGGAGCATCAGTGTTGTCAGAATGGTTACTAGATCAATTTATGAGTGGAGCATTTAACTACCAAATTCAAGATATGAAATTGATCATTTGCATGGGAAGGAATGCTTTGAATTTCCTTCTTAATTTAAGCTCCTTTTTCATAATAGCACAGATATAGTTAATTTTTATATCATCTGTCAAATCGCATATACTTCTTCTCATCCTTAATATAAGATGAAGTTTAAAAGATTTTCTTGATCTTAAATATAAGATGAATTTAGAGTAATTAATTTTTCTTTTCAATTTTATCTTGTTTATTTATTTATTTATTGTCATTTGAATTTTTAAACAACAAATTATTATACTCATTAATTACAAAAAACAATAAGCCTTTATTCCACTAGGTGGGGTCGGCTACATGGATTGCAAGACGCCATTGTGCTCTATCATTTATCAAGCTTTTAGGAATATTATTAATTAAGAGATCGCATTCAACAACTTCCACGAGTGTTCTCTTAAGCTTTCCTCTACCTCTTTTAATCGGACTCAAAGTTATATGTTCCACTCTTCTCACTGGTGCCTCCCTTGGTCTCCTTTGTACATGCCCAAACCATCTCAATCGATTTTTTACCATTTTTTCTTCAATAGGTGCCACCCTCACTTTTTCGCGTACGTGCTCATTTTGAATTTTATCTTTACGTGTATGTCCGCACATCCATCGTAACATTCTCATCTCTGCTACTCCAACTTTATGCTCTTGCTGTCCCGTTAGAGCCTAGCATTCACTACTATATAACATTGCCGGTCTGATAGCAGTGCGATAAAACTTTCCTTTAAGTTTATTAGGCACCTTACGGTCACAAATAACTCCTTTAGCTTTTCTCCAATTAAACCACCCAACTTGAATTCTATGTGAAATATCTCCACTGATTTCGCCATCATTTTGAATAATGGCTCCTAAATATCTAAACTTTTCCACTTGAGGTATAATTTGATCTCCCAATTTCACTTCCAAATTATTGTCGAATATTTCTTTACCAAATTTACAATATAAATATTCCGTCTTACTTCTACTCAAACGAAAACCTTTCGACTCCAATGTCCTCTTCCATAACTCAAGTTTACAATTAACCTCTTCTCTTGTCTCTGCTATAAGAATTATATCATTCGCGAAAAGCATACATTTCGGGATTTCCTCTTGAATATGTTCCGTCAAAACATTTAAAATCAAGTTGAACAAATAAGGACTCAGAGATGATCCCTGATGTAGTCCAATCTTTATAGGAAAATTCTTTATTTGACCACTAGATGTTCTTATACTAGTTTTTACCCCCTCATACATATCTTGTATGGCTTTAATATGAGCAATCCGTACTCCCTTTTTTTCCAACGCTTTCCAAAGCACTTTTCTTGGTATACGGTCATAAGCTTTTTTCAAATCAATAAAAACCATGTGTAGATTTTTATCTTTATAACGATACTTTTTCATTAATCCCCTTAGTAGATAAATCGCCTCTGTAGTTGATCTACCTGGCATAAAATCAAATTGATTCTTAGAAATACTTGTCTCCAATCTCAACCTGTGCTCAATTACTTTCTCCCACAATTTTATTGTGTGGCTCATGAGTTTAATCCCTCTATAGTTAGTACAATTCTGAATATCTCCTTTATTTTTATAAATAGGAATTAATGTACTTCTCCTCCACTCATCAGGCATTTTCTTGGACCGTAAAATCACATTAAATAACTTAGTTAACCATCTCACCCCTTCTTCACCTAAACATTTCCATGCTTCGATAGATATACAATTAGGTCCGTTGGCTCTACCATTTGCCATTTTCTTAAGAGCTTCCTTTACCTCCTTATCACGTATTATTCGATAGAATGACAAATTTTGTTCTCCTTCACCAGTTACTAAATCCTCCAAGTTACTAGATGAATCCTCTCCATCATTGAAAAGTTTAGAAAAGTAAGTCTCCCATCTATTTTTAATTTCATCATCTGTAACTAAAATTCTTCCCTCTTCATCCTTAATACACCTTACCTGTTCCAGATCTCTTGATTTTCTTTCCCTACTCTTGGCAATCTTATAAATATTTTGCTCTCCTTTCTTTGTCTCAAGGTTCTTAATTACAAAAATGATAAAATTGGAAAATTACATATGTTTTTACAATTTCAAGTTTATAACTAACATTTCTTAATAATCGCGAAGCTTGTTAACTTTGTCTTATATTAAGGATCACTATAATATTTCAAATTAAGTCAACAAAAGTATCCTCAGCATACTCAATTAATTGCATTAGGATTTTTATAAGTTATTTGATTTTGAATGCTGTACGGTGAAGAGATTGGAAAAGGAAAAAAAAAACTATATATTTAGTTCTTTAACTTTACACAATGTTTTATTTTAATTCCGTAATTTTATAAGAGAAAATAATAATAAAATCTTCTCGAATTATATAAATAACAATTTGATATCTCAAAATGCTATAATTTCACTAGAGTTCTTAGAGACTTTTGTGTCAATACATTTTAAATTGAAAAGACCATCTTACCCTTAAAAACAAACAATAATTTCTTGTTTAATTTTTACGATTTTTTGAATAAAAATTCTTATTTTTTTAAACAAAAGTTGTGATTGGGACTTATTATTTTAAAATTTTTTTTCAATAATAGAAATTATCTTTGACAAGTTGTTATTTCTTGTTCAATTTTTGTGATTTAGAGAACAAAAGTTGTTATTCTTGAAATAAAAATTATAATTGAAGCTTGTTATTTTGAAATAGAAATTATACTTGATCCTTTGTAATTTCTTGTTCAATTTTTGCATAGAACAAAAGTTGTCATTTTTTATGCAAAAATTGTCATTAAAGCTTGTTATTTTAAAAAAGGATAAAATATTTTTTTTATTTTAAGATATTTGAAAAGACATAAAAGTTCTTAAGAACTTCAGTAAAATTATAGTCTTTTAAGGGATCAAATTATCATTTATATAATTTAGAAGATTTTATTGTAATTTTTTCTTTTACAAAGTGTTTTTTCAATCCTTTAACTTTAATGCTATTAGTTTCATTACAATTTTTTTTACATTGAAATTTCAAACATTCGCAAAACATTCTCAAGTATCAACATATTGAGTTTAATTTTTTGAAATAATAATGATTAGTATAAAAAATATATTTGAAACTTACATTATTAGGATTAGGGGACCAAAAAAGTATTTATAAAATTAAGGGATTAAATTAAAATCTTGTATAAAGTTAGAGAATTATTTAGCTGAAAAAAATGTGGGGAAATTTTTAAAGAAATTAGAAGATAAACACAAACAATATAATTTAAACATGTTTTATTTAAAATTTTGTTATCTATTTAAATTCAAATATAAATAATCATTTATTTTAGTTTATAAATAATTATATCCATGAAAAGTGGAAATAGTAGACAAATGTTTTGTTTTAAAATTTGTTTCTTTCACGTAAAAATAACATGTGTAATTTTAAAATCCATTATCTGTGCATATTAAGAATATAAAATAATATCTAGTTTTATTCTCGTACAAATATACTTTAGAATTTGTTATCTTGTGCAAATTAAAAATATATGGGAATTGTTATTTCATGATGCATGATACCCATATGAATTAATGCTAAACAACTTTTTTATTTTAGGACTTCTTATTTTGATGCAATTTTTAAAAAATAAAGGTTAAAGTATATTTTTCATCCTTTAACTTTATATAAGATTTCATTTAGATCCCTTAATTTTATAAAGTATATTTTCAATCTTTTAACCCTTACACCATTAATTTTATCACAATTTTTTTATATTGAAATTTAAATATTGATAAGATATTATTAAATACTGACATATGAACTTTAATTTTTTAAAATAACAATGATTGATGCAAAAATCAATCATTTTGAAACTACCAATGTTAGAATTAAAAGGCTTAAAATACACTTTATAATATTAAGAGACTAAATTGAAGCCTTATATTAAGTTAGAGGATTAAAAATATACTTTAACCAAAAATAAATGACTAAATTTCATATCCCATGTGATTGAAAAATAGGAGATGGTTGTAGTGATTATAAGATATAAATTAGAAACTGATCTAGAATGGAAGCCGTTGTATTTTATTGTACTACGCTATTGCAGAAAGTACTTTTTATTTCAGTTTAGAAAGGGCCATCAAAATTTCTATCGTGGATATGATGACTTTTCACATCAAAGTGAAGTTAACCGACGTGGAACTTTTTTTTTTTAATGTCTTGTTTATTTTCCAACATACCCTTAATTAAAACTTGTAAACTTTACAAAATATATCCAGCAGATATATAAAAGCAACCAACTAGCCAGCATAATCAATTAGAAGTAATTAATGTAACTATTTGATCAACTAATTGTAAATAATATAATATTTTTTTTATTGTATCTAATCTAATTAAAATACATATATGTTCAACTAACAATTTAGCAACCTCTCACATTAAAAAGTTCTCTTGACAAATTTGATGAGCCAATACTTCTCGAATGTCGTCAATTTTCTCATTATTGTAGGAATCCAAATAACCAAAATTTTAAATAATAAAATCAATCAAAATAATACTATAAGATGTTAAGTGAAAGAATTTAAACTAAAATTACTTAACCAATTAAATAAATATCTTATGCAATTTTGTGATATTTCTCACTTCAACT